TGCCTGTCAGCTCCTCAGGGCTTGTGATTTGTAAAAATAATTTTTTTTTTCAGCAGAATTGTCCCTTACATTTAAGAAGTCAGAGCAAGTTTTTTTTCTTAATGTTTACTATGAGAAGACATAACAATAAACATTTCATTAGTTACTTCCTCTCTGTGACACATTCTATGATGTTGAAACATATTGATTTTATCTGTCAGTGCTTAAGCTTTGATTTAAATGCATAATTACCTTGTAGAAAAAAATTACATAGTTATTAGAATTATATACTTAAACATTGTGGCAATATTTAATACTTAGGATATTGTAAAGTTAATAGAATAGCCGTGAAAATCCAGTCACTGAAGTAACTGAAAACAGTTCCCTTATGAGATAGTCACCTTGCTTGGACCTCAAACACAGCAAGCAGCTCACCATGTGTTCGTTGTGACACAATGGGCCTTGAAACTAGAATGATGAGTCCTGTCCCCATTTTTCCCTTGGTGAAAGCTGAACCTCTGGATAAACTTTAAAGAAATGTCTGCAAAAGATCTCAGTGCTGTAGGTGGAGAACTTTAGACATTAGCAGAGAAATCCTTGTCAGCAACATAGATGAAGCCCAGGGTGTGTTTAGAACACGTCACTGAGTTGCACGAACAGACACGATCCAATCTGTAAGCAGAGGGCTTCCCTCAAGTCACAAATCATCCTAATAAATGAAACTCACTTCCTTTTGAAAAGATTTTTTTAAGTTAGTTATATTAAAGCAGAATAAAAGTGGTATTTGTATCAGTTAGTCATATTACTTTAGAAAACAGCTCCAGTATACATGTGTAGTAGTGGCAGAAAACTTATAATATTTAAAATACAAAGTCAATTCTCAAACATCTTAGTGATGCTTATTCCATTCTGAGTGGCAGAAAACTTATAATATTTAAAATACAAAGTCAATTCTCAAACATCCTTAGTGATGCTTATTCCATTCTGAGGTCACCTCTTATTTGCTGCCTGGCCATTAAAGGCCAAACTGAAGGGGCTCAGAGATAAGTATAAGATAAAAGTACAGAGAAATAAGATCTACAAGAAACTTAAGGATCAGAGTGAAATCCACCTGCTGGACAGAGGAAATGGAAACTCAGAAAGAATAAAGCTTACTCACGACTACACAGAGGCCGACACACTACAACTCAGGTCTCCTGACTCTTAGTCTATTGTCCTGAAGGAGATTTTCTGATGGTCGTACAAAGCCAACTGCTATAAATTTTTAAGTAATATACATTTCTTCTCTCCATTAGCCAAGTTGACCGTCCTTATGAATAACTGCTTTTGTAAAAGCTGCTGCCATTGTACCCTTTACCCCCAGGGTGGGGGTGGCAGTGGGGTGTTGTAGTAAGGAACCTATCTCTGGTTAGAGCATGGGCTCTAGGTTTTAGTCACTGTTCTGCCACCCACCAACAGCATGCATTTAGAGAAGTCGCTTTCCCTTTCTGGGCACCAGCTTTTGTAAAATCAAAGTGCTGGGTTTCATTTTGTTTACAGTCTGAAAAAAAAACTAGAAAAATCCATAATTGACTTTTGGTAAGTTTGAAGGAGGGCTTTTTATCTAAAATAAATGTTCTTACATGTGAAGATAATTATGAAAGAAATACCATCTCTGAATACGAGGTTTTCTGAAACACTGAGAAGGAAATACCACACAAGGCACCTGCCAAAATGTACACAAACTAAAAAACTGACCTTTCTATGAGTGTCAAAAGGAACTGAGAATATATAAATCTGTTACAAAATTAAGAGCGGTGTCGTTTCATCCCCAGACACCTATTAGCAGTTATACAATTAGAAGCATATGAATAAAAAAATCTACCAGGTTCTAAGGGATCTTCTAAAAGAAAAACCCATTCTGTTTTTGGTTAGTTTCCTCTAGTACACAGAATACTCTGATTTAATTATTAAAAGTTCTTCAGACTGCTTCTCAAATTACCTGAATGTTTAGACTCAATCAATTGGGATTAATAAAAGGGTAAAACCCCTTGAGGGCAGAGACCACATCTTATCATTCCAACTTCTTGTTTGTTTGTTTTTAATTAAGAAAATAGAGAACTGTTAACTTGACATTCTCTTTTCATTAGAATGATAAAACTCCAATATATTTTTGAAGCGATATGCCTTAAGTAACACTGGAAATGAGTGAAGTCCATAATGATAAAGGCAGAAGGAACAGCACATAATCACTGTCCTCTAGCTGATAAAGTTGTTTCCTACATGGGTACTAGTTAGCAATTCTGCCACTACTACACATGCATACTGGAGCTGTTTAAGTGAATGGGTGGTGGAGGGCGGGAGTCTGGGTTCTCCCTGTTGTGTTGGGAAGTTTCAAACAAGCAGAGGATGTCTACGATGATACCGATGGTAGTGGATTAATAAGTTGGAGACATCATCATGAATTCATGCTTAGCTTATTATAGACAGGTACATATAAAAATGTTTACATGGGTATATACTGGGGTTGGTGCACGCACACACACTCACACACACTCACACATCTATTTCCTGTCAGTTGAGAAGGCCTAGAAGCAGTAACACCACAGTATCAATGAGCACACCTGGTACCCAGAACTTGGGTTCTAATACCAGTCTTCAATAAAATGAACCAGGACTCTTTGGAGAAATGGCTGAGTCTAGGCCTGGGGCAGGAAATATACAAGACAAATCTGGGGCATCTTGTACTGCCAACAAGTAAGGAAGTGCTCAGAAGAAACCACAATGATGAGGTAAGTCAAAGGGACACAGGAGCCAACTGAAAGTTTTCAATGGTCAAAGCTAGAACAATCTGAGAGAAAAAAAAAAAAAGCATTAGATTATAACCCAAAGTATCTGAGTCCACCCTGACATATTAAATAACTGAGGGAGAACAGAAAAATCTCCTGTGGAGAATTCTAAATAATTTGTGTAGATATTTGGCCTGCAAGGTGGAAGCTAACGCCCCACTCCTTAAGTGACTTCCTTCCAGAGTGCAGTATGAAAAGGAGGAAAGACAGTAACTCTGTTAACCTGACAAATACTGCCTCAGCCAGATGACTGAGATTTACTCGAAAGTGGTAGTCATGTTGATAGTATGTACCATGTTGATATAATGTGATGAAAGTGGCACTTGACCTCTGTGATCTTCCCCACCAAACCCATAACCCTAATCATGCAAAAAACATGAGGCAAATTCTAATTAAGGGGCATTCTACAAAATACTGAAACAATATGCTCCAAAACTCAAATATTTAAGGTGAGTCTGAGATGAGGGAGTTATGAAGACTCAACATAAGGTGGTATATCCCGGGACAAAAAAAGGACGTTAGGTTAAAATGAAGGAAATCTGAATAAAGTTATGGACTTTCACTAACAATAACGTATCACTACTGATTCATTTCAACAAATGTACCACTGATGTGTATTAGTAACAGAGGAAACTGGGTGTGCAGTATATGAAAACTCTTGGCATTGCCTTGGCAATATTTCTGTAAAACTAAAACTTCTCTAAAAGGTTTATATTTTATTTTTTCAATATGTAGCAGGGCAGAATAGACATAACAGAAGGCTTGGCTAGATATGGTGTTTGTATATTGGTGAAAACTTTCACCATAACTGGTATTTTTTCATTTCCTAAGGTTTTATTTTAGTCAAAGAAATATATTTTAGTTCAAACTATATATCTAAAGGCTAAAAAATAAAACACTTGGATAATTTTACTAGAGGTAAAAACATCTTTGGTGCTATCATATACTTAATTACCTAGACTTGTTTCTTTTAACACAACAGTTGGTTAAGTCTGAACACTGCTAACAGCCCCCACTTTCTCTTAGAATGAAACCCCAAGTCCTTACCTGGCTTACATGCTCGGGCTCCTGCCTACCTTCTTTTACTCCATTCTATACCACCCTCTCCACCCATTTTCACTGATTTGAGCCCCACGAGTCTTGTTCTAAAAACCTATTCAGTGTCAGGGCTGTCCCGTGGCCCTAGAGTCTGGTATCTGTTACCTAGTGCTGCGTAGTAACTCATCCCCCACACTTAGCAGCTTACTACAACCCCTAATTCTATTCACTCATGATTTGGGGAGTCGGCTATTCGGGCTGGTCTCACCTGGGACACTCACACAGTTAGAGTCACCTGGCATGAAGACTGAGGATGGGTGACCGTCGGGTGAGACATGTTTTTCTAGGTATTTTCAAGTCATGGCTGCAGCAGGGGCTCAAGAGTGACAGTAGAAGCATTTGCTTGATCAAAATCTACCATATGTAGGCTACTTTTCCTGAAAGATTTCCATAGCGGACTCCCCTTAAAACATTGTCTTTTCAGAGGTCTTTCCTAACCACTGCATTCAAGGTGGCTCCTCACCCTCCCCGCCATCCCTACTCCATTGCTTGATTTCCTTTCTCTCATTATGATCATCCATTACTCACTGTCCACTTGCTTATCTTCTCTGTAGGAGCAGGAACTTCATTACTTTGCATCTTTATTTTGTTCTGCCACAATAGGGAAGATAACCAAGTTCAATAGCACCCAACCTGAATTGAAATAAGGTTTTTTTTTTTGTCTCTTCTCCATACAAAAAAATGAAGGATCTACTTTTTAAGTTCAACGTAGAAGGTTATCTGAGGCTTTTCCAAGTTAATCTAGAGCTTCGCCATCCAACATTAAGATACCAGTTTAGAAATTAACTTTTTTTAAAGATCACCAAAATGCAAATAAGCCTTCCACTGAATCTCCGGTTTGTCCCAGTTGATTAAAAGAAAGCTCACAAGGGACGAGATCCAGGAGACTTGTTTCCACCCCTCCAAGTGCAGTGGCGGTCTGTGTGCCAGCTCCTGGATGTCCCGAACACCAAGCCACTCTAAACACTCTCCCCTCCACAGGAGGGCCCCAGGATGGGATCATGCCTGACCCTAACCAATCCAGGTCCAGAAGGTTTTACCATAAAGAATGATACCTTTCAATACAGTTTACGCAAACAAAAAGAAATTGAGCCATTAGAGTATTTTTCCACTTTATTTTTTTATGAATGACAGACCTACCCAATAATTTTATTCAGTTTATTTAAATAAGGATAAGGCTACTTAAAACTTTTTACATACAAAATTGTACATTACAAGGTTAAACTTTCTGTACTGAATTACAAAACCTGCACAGGCATTTAATAAAAGAGCACACTTAAAAACATTTTAACCATTTTGTAGCCTCTAAAAATTACTGAAGTTCCACAGTAGTAAATAGAGGAAGCTCTTACATACATATGATTTAAGCTATTGGCAGTTTTACTTAATGTAAGTTTTAAAAGGTCATTGCTATTGAATGAGTCTCTAGATTAGTTTTAGAACCCTCTCTCAAAACTTAAGTCAATCAAAATATTATTTCAAATAATAATGATAATCCTAAAGAATGTTAATATTAGCAAAAATATTATGGCCTCATAGTTGTAATTGAATCAACTTTCCAAAGTGCCTGGATGCTGTGGAGGTTAATAAAGCTATTTTGGTAAACGGTGCTGCCGTCACAGCCACCGGGAAGCAACTGAGGGCCCTGGTGCGGCAGGGCCATGAGACCCTCCGGAACTCACGCAGCAGTCCATGACCCCCCCACATGCAAGAGGACTGGGAGTCACCTATCTTCACCCTCTCAGTGAATGAGAAGGGCCAAGCAATAAAACTTGCAAATCTAAGCCTGAAGCTTAGGACCGACAGAAAGGAGGAAGGAGATGGAAGCAACGAAAGTAAAAATATGGCAAAGGAAGATAAGGAAAAAGAAAACAGGGAACTAAGAGGGAGAGGAAGAGAAGAACAAGACTACCTGCCAATGGCAGGAAGTGGTAAAGTGCCTGTAACTGCACCTCCTTCGAAGCCGCTCACTGACTCCAATGCCAATCACTCGCCTACCGCAGCAGTAAGAAAAACGAGCTTTATTGAAACATAGAATCAAGAGCAACAATAGTAACCCATGCTAGTGAGTAAAGTGTGTTCTGAAGTTGTCAGCCATTCAAATCAAGTCCTTCTCAACTTCAAAGTTCACCAAAGCAACATGTCAAAACTTAAGATTCCCAACCCTTCTGCTTCTGACTCCCATCATTCAGCAGGTTTCATGTGGAGAAAGACGTTCAAGACAAGCTGTATCTCTACACCTTGAGAAGGCACAGCACTCTAAGATGTTGATATGTAATACATAGCACATGGTTTAGTGCTTTCCCACATTTCTAACTCAAAATAGCTCAAGAATATGCTGCTATATGAGCACTGACTCTGAATGTTCATAATATAAACTTCAATTTGAAGCAACAAAGTTACACAGTTCAGCTGTTATTAGCAACCTACTTTGTAAGTTAAATATACAAATTAAAAATTGATTTTGAGTAACTAAAAATAAGTTTCCACTGACTTAAAACTGTCAAATGGCTAATTCTCTCTTAACTAAGAGAGAAATGAAGATGAAAGCAGAAGAATCAACTGAATACAAAATATAATTTGTCATTCTACCCTAAAATCTGCACTTTTTAAAATATCAACATAGTTATATATAAGATTACATTTGTCCTTCAGCAACATTACATACATCGGTTCTGCAGATAATTATCTACTAAATGACTGACCATTACATTAACAATTCATGCAACACTTATTTAGCATGTATCGATTTTGTCTTACGTGTACAGATTTATAGTCGGGACAAAGGCAGAATGGCTAAAATCTGTAGGGTTAAAGTTTTAGTACAGTACTTACCTGCAAGGCTGAATTAATTTTTTGTAAGGCTATTCAATAGCTGAACTAAAATGCTTCTTTTAGCAAATCAGAAGAGGAGTGAGACTGCTTGAAAAAGCACTGAAATGCAAACCCCAATTTGAAGATCAATCACACAGAGAAAAAGTATAAAGTAAACTTTGCACTAGGTTAGAAGCACAGAGCAGAAAAGTGGACACTAGAACTCACGAACATAAGGTGCACCCTAGTTTGCAACCGACTTCCATTATACAGTTGAAAGGAAAACACCACCTTAACACAAATACAAAACCTCAGGAGATACCCGTGTGTGAGACAGCCCTGTGGGAAGCTGTCCACGTCACACCAGCAGGCAGCCCTGGCCGGGTGCCGCACTCCTCTGCTCTCACTGGTCTGACTTCTGACTTCAGCGTCTCCTCTTGCCTCCTCCGCATCGCACTGGACTCTCAAGTTCTAGAATTCTACCCCCTTCTTATTCTCTAAACTTTCTACCAACACGTACCATCTCTGACATGATTATTTCACCTGAAGATTTAAAAGTCAGCTTCACTAAGCACCTAGGAGGGAAGACATCTGAGCTCGCAGGCTGAGCTTGCAGGCTGCTCATGAAAAGAGGAGGCAGGACTGCTGCGTGACAAGAACATTCTAAAGGGTGGACCAGGGACGAGACTGACCAGTCGACTCACAACAAATCAATACTGTTATGACTTCAAGGGAAGAAGCAATAGTAAGCACTGATTTCCCTTTTGATTTTTATGGGAAGTAGCAATATAAGCACTTACAGAACAGCAATTTTATCTGTATATTCTGAGTAGTTTATTGGCAGCACTGTGAATATGCTTTTCTCGGTGAACTTTGAGGATGAGTTTGGTAGTATTCACCAAAGTATTGTGAAGAACTGTTATATGCTCTTGTTTGGAAAAAGATAAAAATTGTGAACTTCTAAAATATTTGAGTTTTTAAAAAAATCTCAAATTCCTCCAAAGACTAAAACAGACTAATGAGAATAATTCCTAAAATTCACTGGATGCTTTATACCAGACTTGCAGCTACTGATTTGACTAGGGTCAATAAAAATGACTTACACTGAACCACTCATTTAAAAAGAAATTCTTTCCTAATCAGGGAATGAAAGGCAAGATTTTTTAAAAAAAGGAGGGGAGGTTTATTTTATTTATTTTAAACCTAATTTTAAACCTCTTAAGAAAATTCCACAATAATCAAGATCTCTGTAAATACTGTCAATATATGGGAACTTGTTTGAAAAACTAGTTACAGTTATATTTACATTTTTGGAAACTTTCCTTCATGGCCATGTAACGTGTTGTATCTTCCTCTTTGCTTCTGGGGGCTTCAGGTTATTCTGAAAAGATATGAACAGAAATCAGTTTATACTTCTAAAAATGTCAGAGGATAACTTAAACATTTTAAACCACTCTGTTTACTACCAATGTACGAATGGTAGATCACTGCTGCCATCTGGTGGGAAAATATTTTAGGAGATTGGGGTAAAAAAGCAAGCCTCCTCAGCTCCCATTTCCCACTGTGGTTCCCCAATATTTGCATGTTAGAATCACCCAAGGCACTTACAAACATGCCTGGGTCTGGGTTTTATTCCAGAACCAATCAGATCAGAATCAGTTAGATCAGAATCCACAGAAGGTGAAGAGGTGCCGATCTGTTTTTTCGGATGCCCCTCCAGGTGACCGAAAGCCACCCTCAAGAGTTGAGGACCACTGGTACGGCTGAAACTTATTGGATTTTGTTAACCAATGTCACCATAAAAAAATTAACTTAAAAAAAAAGAGTTGATGACCACTGACTGCTGCAGAGCTGCTTCCTTCCTGCCTAGCCCCACATCCTCCCTCGACCTCAAAATCCAAGATCATAATATGAGAAAAGATTTTTTTTTTTAAATCACATCTCTGAAAGAGTAAATATTTCCTGAGTAGAAAATGCTTTAAGAGAATGAAAAACAATTCTCGAAGTTCATTCCTTATTGCCATATTTGAGGTCTGGATTCTTCTCCCCACTCCCACCTGCCACCCTCCTTCTCTCTTCCACAAAGGTAACTGAGGTAAATTTGGAGGTAGTGTGTGCTCTGAGGCCAAAAAGGCTGGAACTCAAGCTGCAGTATGGCCACTACTAGCTCTGGAACCCTGGAAAATGTATTTAAACTATCTAAGCTTCTGTTTCCTTATCTGTGAAATGGAAATAATTATTGTGCCCACTTCACAGGGTTACTCAGGATTCACTGAAAGGATTCAACGAATATAAGAATGCAGGGCTGGTCAGATACACCAAAGTCTACCATTTTAGAACGTCTGAACTACTCTGAGTGTCGATCCCTCTGACACACAATTTGAAGATGATAATAAAGCCAAAGTGTATACTACAGGAACGTGCTATACACTGAATATGTATGTGTACCGCCTCCCCCGCAACCCCCCT